GGAAAATGGTTAATCTCAACTTGAATTCCTTTTTTCTGAGAAACTACGGTTTGAAATAAAAGTGTTAGAAATCTGCAGTTAAACTAAGTAAGGTCGAACAAACTGTCACAGTCCACACCAGCTGACGGCGCCCGTTTCTTAGGCTATCCCGTCTTACCTTGATATGCTCTTTTTTCTTTTTTAAATTTTCTATACCGTTCTGAGGCTCTACGACGTTGAGAGGGAGATTTCTTTTTGTTAGAACGAGTCATGATAAAATTTTGTGAATTTGATTTGATAACTTTAGTATGAAAAAAATTTTTTGGGAGAAAAGAAGAAATTTGAAAGGCCTTATCCGATTGGCTTAATTTTCACTTTAATACTTCTTCATTTCCTATTCGAGAAAAAATGCATGCCGGGATGATCGGACCAATTGATCACTTTGTTACGCCAAAAACTTAACCCTTGATATCAAATGCTTTGTAATATTAAGGTTCTATTTTTGCTGAAGTTTTTGATAAGAATCCGCATAATATTTTATTTTCTTTATATTGTCGTGAAAATTCCAATAATTTTGCACTTTGTTGCCTGTAAATTTTTCTAAACAAACTCATCTAAAGGACACTTGGTAATTGTCAACACTTTCTCTCCAACATTAATACCGACGTCAAGATGTCAAGTTGATAAATTGTCAACTTTCAAGACTGAAGCGCAATTTTCGCATCGGGTAATTAAACATTTAATTTGTAACTTTTTTTTATTGGATAAAACTAATATATTGACCCTCGTAGGTAAAACATTTCTGGTTAGAATCCAATGACGATCGATACTTTATCAAGAAATGACATATTTTTTGGAGCATTACCTGAAATCATCAATTCTTCTTCTTGTCCATTCAAAAAAAAATTTTAAAGCAAGAATTAATGTGGTGTTTATTATGCATGAGCTATCCTCACAATTCTGCTAATCATATAAAGTAAGAGTCGGTCTCGTATGTTCTGTCCTTAAAACTTTTTACGTTTATTGTTTAATTGAATTTATTTTATTAATTGTAGAATATTAAGCGAAAGAATATTGGAATATCCAAGCCTTGTTAAATGCTTAATGGGTCAAAGAAAATTCTATTATTGATTGGCAGTATAAAGTTGCGTCAGTCAAAAAAGTTTATATCCACACGCATCTTTTTCTGTGGCATTACAAACTTACATTTGTACATAAGTTTAGCTTAAATTTTATTCTCCTTGGAGAGATTATCTGCAACGAAAACATTTTTCTATATTGATAATCGTGTGAAAATTGAACGATGATGGATTACTCGAATTTTGGCAACAAATTTATATGGATAAGACAATTATCAAAATTGAAGATTTACCGGATCCAAAACCTAATGGTTGACAACAGGAAGTTTATATGATCATTAAATTTCGTTTTAATTTTATTTTTAAACCGAATTGATCAATTCAAAATATATTATGACGAAGAATTGACGATATTACAAAGAAAAATGCAATTGATAACTTTACTAATGAACTTCATTTGGTAATTGAGAATCATCTGAAAAGTTTTAGAAATATCATTCTTACATCAGTTCCTCAACTAAAAGATTCTCTTCTAGAGCGAGTTCTTAATTATATTTTAATATTTTTTTTACTGTAATCGCGGCAAGAAATAGGGAAAATGTGAATACAAGTACCTTATCGTCAAGTTACTTATTGGTGATAAAGTGTATCAGCCAATTCTCCTTCATGCTTATTGGTGGAAAACTGCTCAAAAGGAATTAGCACAATAAATGGCTCCAGAAATTATTCAAAACATTCAAGACCAAGAAAATGTTAATGGAAATTTAGAAAGATACATAGTAAGAGAAACAACAGAAATAATTTTACAGAGAATATGTGAAAATTCAGACGACGCAACAAAGGTTCGATTGCTCGATATGTGGCAATATGATGTAAACAAAGTATTTTGTCTCAGCAATAAGATAATGTGTGCGGACAACTTATCAGATAAATTGTTCAGCTTGGATTAAATTCGAATAGACAAGAAATTTTCTCAGAATAATTTGACAGCACCATTCTTTATAAATTTGATAATTTGGAACAAAATGAAAAGAATCAATATTTAAAAGATCATTCATCATGAAATGTCTTGAATTAATTCCGATCGATTCCGATGTTCGACTAAGTATTTATGAAAAATAAAAACGTTTTGCCTTGGCTTGGAACTTTGAATTGGGAAGGCATCAACGCTTGTCATTTATTCCATATGCGAATTGCCTGAATATTACGAAGCTGAAAGAGGAAGCAATAGAGCACCTTTCAAAATTTCATACAAAACATAAAGCGAAATGATACTTTAAGTGCAAGGTTATCTTTGATGGGACTTCTCTTTACTAGACTTCACTTTTTAAGGGCTTCAGGAGAATGGCAACATCCGGAAACGCAATCAGCAGATTTTTTAACCAATGAGATCATTGGAATTAAAAATCTCCCGGAATTATTTAAAACGATTGCAAAAAACGTTGTGTCAAATCAAATCTCTCTTCTTCAAATCGTCAATTCGGATTTTTGAAGTACTGGTTTGTTGTTAAAATCTGTGATTGCACATATTATCTCACTTTTTGCTTCAGTTGAATTCATCTCAATTAGCAATGTACTTACACAGATTACAAGATTGTTATAATTTGTTTATTTTATCATGTGCATCTAATGCAGCGTTGGTGGTATTTAAAGAGTTTGCTGCTGCTGGATATATGGTAAAATTGGCCTGTGTATTGGTATGAAATCAATGATCACGTAAAGTAATGACGCTAGTAACGGTGTTGTAACCAGCGTATGCACGAAATGTAAGAAAAATATTACTGGAGTTGTTATAAACAACTGCGCTATTAAATGCAACAGATCAAATCCGGATACTTTGGAGAAGATTTAGATCATACTTACAGAACATTTCATATCGTGTATTACATTTAATTGTTCATGTTCTTTTTGGAGCTTCTGTACCTCAATCAGACTTGATTCCTTCAAACAAATGATCAAACGGCCAAATGCTGAAAATTACTGTATGAGTCATATCCAAATGATTGGGAAATTCTCAAGAATATTCTTAATTGTTCGGATGAGGTATACTTGTAAAATATTATTTTTCTTTTTTTACGTTTATTATTTTAAATAAGATTAAGAATTTAACAAATGGTATAATTTTAATCAGATTTTGGCGTTAATGTTTCATTCATTATGACGGAACAACCTCCATTACCGAATCAGCAAATAAGAACATCTGATATTGAGAAATGGAGTTCCACAACAATTATATTGAACCGCAATTTAGAAATATAGCGGAAACGGTAAATAATTATCGAATGGCGGAGGTTAACTATAATATTAATGTGATCGAGGATGGCAATGAATAAGCAATATCGAATTGAAAATTTACCTAGTTTATGGAGGATCATTGGAATGAATGACGTTGTTAGTTTCCGTGAATATTATATTCAAATATTTATCCATTCCTATTATTTATCAAATACTTCAGACAATTAAAATTACTTAAACATTTTTACTTATTGTAAAGTTTGTCCAAATTTTAAATTCAAAACTTGGATATTACTTGACGTGGCAAGATGCAAGAAAAATGACCTTTTAGAGGATTTTTAGAAAAAGAGTCTGATAACCTTGAAAACCATGAAAAACTCCATAACGTCTTGAATGATTTTAAACTTGGTTGGAATACTGTTGTTCCATTTATAAGTCGATATCGATGTATTGATCTTCCCAACGACAAACCGATCATGAAATATGAATTGCCAGTCGTTTTTGGATTAGTGGAACCGAAGGATGCAGGAATCTATTTATGCGCCACCTTAGAATACTTAGTTGCCATACAAAATAATTTCCTACGAGATGTCATGACAATCCCACCTGGAACTTGTATACCACTCAAGGTTTTGGATAAACTGACGTTTGATATTGAAAAACTGTCGTGCTAGTTTCAAAAGTAGAATCAATTAATACAATTGAATCTAACGGATATTACCTTCAATCTATGCGTTTTGAACGTGTTAAGTCCGAGAATATAATTAATTTTTATCAGAACCACGAAATCCTTTCTTATAGTCATAGAAATTTGGCAATTGCGAGGGGACACGAGATCCTTTATGATTTAACGAAGATTGAGGCAGACTTGACAAACTTTTGGTATTCACAAAGTTTATATAGAAGGAATTGTTCAATATATATGAGAACCCTTGACATTCTAATACCTTAAGAACCAATCCCAATTGAGAAAATGGGCTTGTTAGATGTACAATTTTACAATTCAATTTAGATTACGAGTTAGGAATTCTATCGTCGTTGGAAATTCTTTGTCGTTTATCAAACGTACTGCAGTTGGAGAAAATTTAATTAGGGATTACAATTTTGCAATGGATGAAATTATCTTTATTGATCGAACATAAAGGATTTCTAAATTATTAAACGTCGATTTGAAACTTAAAAACTTGGTAGTTTTATACGAATTCATTGAAAAAGCTCCACTTTCGATAGATATGGAAACGACGATACTTCAATCTATGAATGTTAAACAGCAAACTTCTGGAAAAGAATTGATACCAGCAGAAGCATTCGCTTTAGTTTAAAACGGTTCATGTTCCGATTTGTACTTTTAGAAAATCAGAAAGAAACCGAACCATTATATATTTATTTGAAAGATTTTTCATTAAATTTATGGCCTTCAACAGTCTTGGAGCACCTCATTGATGAAATGTTCCCGGAAAACTTAATATTGGCCAACATATCTGCTGCCTATGAATTTACTATGAAAAGATTGAGAGAAAAATATTTTTTAATTAAATAAATTCGTTTATAAGTTGACTGGAACGCTGATAAAATTCTATCTTTTTTTCTTTTAAGAAAACAATGAGAGGCTAAAAATCAACAAATGAAAGAACAAGCTAAAGATCTACATACAGTATAAGAGAACAAGATAATCAGCGCACGTCAGAACTGCTCAATAATCAACAAATGACAGAACTTCTAAGCAACAGACGAGAAATTTGCCTAGTAATCAACAGTTGTGAAATAGGTTAGCTACCAACAGTTGAGAAAACCGGCCAGTTACCAACAGTTGAAAAAACAGACTAATCAAGAAGTGAAAGAACAACTTAGTGATCAAGAATTAGAGGAGAGGACAACCTAGTGTTCAAGAGTTGAGAGAACAACCAAGTATCCAAGAGACAATAAAACAACCTAATAACGAACAAACACCTAATAATAAAAAGGCCGAGTTAAAAAGTAGAGTTAATTCATCGTAATGTATTTTATTAGTAAAATAATAATAATAATAATTTTTTTGTTGGTTAAATCAAATAAATTTTATAAATTCATTTTATAAATACCTGATATACAATAGTCATAAAAAAATTTTTTTTTGATTGATTGCGGGAATATACTACTTTTTCTTCCACATCGAAATTGTAAATAAGTATTCGATTTTGAATATTGTATCAGGCATGTATTTGCAACATATACCTCTAAATTTGTTGAAATTTTGGATTTACGTAGACTAATAGTCACTACAGTTAGGACAAATGAAAATGCCCAAGTTAATGTTTCAAAAAATACTTAATGATTTTATATACGCGTTAAACCAAATGGGTCATTTTTGTTATAGAAGGTTTAAAAAAAATACATGGATTAGAAAACATGAAAGTTTATCTTAAATCTTTAAAGGATGAATCGGAAAACTGATTTATATCATCATTATAATTTTTTTATTTTTTTTTTTAAAGAAAATGTTTTAACGAATTAGTAATATAGTCAAGAAAGGTGTTATTATTTTCTGCTTCGTCGCGCTTTATCATTTTATTATTTAATTTCAGAAAATTTAGATATGATAATGAAGTAAGTAAAGCATTGTAAATAGCAAACTCAATACGAACAAAGAGTTTCACGTGAATCCAAAGAATACCTTAAAACTTCATTTGTGAAGTTTTGATATATCAGCGGAAGTTTTTAAAGATTTATAATGATGAACGATTCATAAGTTCGGATAAGGTTGTGCAGGAATAGTTCACTGGCATACGTATGAATCTTGGTAATATTAAGAATTTAATACCTCAAGAACCAATCCCAATTGAGAAAATTGACTTGTTAGGTGTACAATTTTTACAATTAAATTTAGATGATGCGTTAGAAATTTTATCGTCGCTGGAAGTTCTTTTGTCGTTTATCAAACGTTTTGCAGTTGGAGGTGAAGAAAATTTAATTAGGGATTACATTTTACAATGGATGAAATTATCTTCATTGATCGAACATAAAGGATTTTCTAAATTATTAAACATCGATTTGAAACTTAAACACTTGGTGGCTTTATACGAATTCATTGAAAAACAAGTCGCCAATAATAAAAATATAGATATTAATGAAAAATATAAAGCTCCACTTTCGATAGATATGGAAATGGCGATACTTCAATCTGTGAATTTTAAACAGCAAACTGCTGGAAAAGAATTGATACCAGCAGAAGCATTCACTTTAGTTTTAAAACGGTTCATGTTCCGATTTTTACTTTTAGAAAATCAGCAAGAAACCGAACCATTATATATTTATTTGAAAGATTTTTCATTAAATTTATGGCCTTCAACAGTTTCGGAGCATATCATTGATGAAATGTTCCCGGAAATCTTAATGTTGGCCAACACATCTGCTGCCTATGAATTTACTATGAAAAGGATCGAGGTAGAAATATTTTTTAATTAAATAATTTTATAAGATATTTCAAATAGATAAAATTCTATTTTTTTTTTCTTTAAGAACACGATGAGAGAACAACCTAATAACGAATAACACCTAATAATAAAAAGGCCGAGTCAAAAAGTAGACCCATAACAGAAATATATAAAGTTAATTCATCGTAATGTATTTTAACAATTTATTTCTTATTTTATTTTTTTTTTTTATGATTATATTTTATAGAATCAAATAAATTTTATAAATTCATTTTATAAAAACCTGTTATACAATCGTGTTACCATAAAAAAAAGTAATTGTTGAATTATAATAAAAAGTTTATGTTACACTCCCCGGTAAAAAGTATCCGATCACCTTAAAATTAAACCAATTAAAAAACCAAACCTCCTAATAAATATTTTATATTTATTTTAAAGTATGAAGCGTTAAATTTGCTTAAATAATAGTGAAATTCCATGTAAATATGTAATTTAAAAAATGTGTAAATTTTATCTTTAAAACCAGAAGAGTTAAAGCAAAATGGATGTCAAAATTCGATTCTATGACTAATAAATAGCTTATGTTCCAAAAATCAGAAAGAATGGTTCAGTAATTGTTAAGAGATCGGTTTCTGAAAATTACGATTTCATATGTAAATCAATCATTTTATTAAATTTATTAAATTTGATAATTTTCAAAAAGTTTCTCAACTATATTTCTGATTTTTGAAAAATAAACTATTCTTTAGTCAAAGAGTTGATTTTTTGGCATTTATATTTTCACAACTACAATAGTTAAAAAGTCAAAATTTTGTTTGCCTTAAAATTAAATATTTATGCAAAATTTCATTATTAATTAAATGAAAAAATACTTTCAAATAGATTTTTTTCACCTCAAATTTTAAAATAAATGTAAAGATTATTATTTAATATGCTGATTTTTATCAATTTTTAGGTGGTCAGATACTTTTTATCAGGGATTCAGTAAGTCAGTTTTACTATTAGTTAACACCATAATGCAACTGTTAACCTTTGCTTTTTGTATGCTCTCAAAGGATAGTTTGAGAAGGCTTTGTCTCATATCATAAGGGATATTAAAGATAAAACATTTACATTTGAAAAATAGATTGCAATGCAGGAAATTCCACTAAAGAAACATGATATCACTGAAACATTGTACATATTTAATGAAAACTATATCAAAGATGTAGTTATTACAAGTCAAAATATACATCCTTATTTGTGATGAAGCAGCTGGAATAGGTATACATTCTGTTTAATATGTACTGCTAATTCTACATGTTTTATTATCAGGTAAAACCCGTTTGGAAAAGGAATTCTTCAATTATGTTCAAAATTGGAAATCACCAAATCCTTACCAGTATTTTTGTATCTGTTACTTGATTTTGTCAATAGTGTCATCCTTAGTAAACTTGATTGAAATCTGAGTGTATACATCATTCTTAGACTCTATATTTATTGCCTTTGACTATTTTACGCACAAAAAAAATGACATTTGAAGCTTTCCAGTGTCAAGCATATCCTTATTTTGAAATTTTCAGAATAAGCTTGGTACTTGAAAGGATTCTGATACTTAAAAATATTGGATCCAATCAGATTCTCATCATAATCCTACATATTGATGAGTATCAAAAAATTTTTGAGTTCAAACGTACTTGGAAAGTAAAGGAGCTTTTCAAAGAACATATATATATCCTCGGACCTTTTATGTCAGAACCTCCTCTTAATTATTATGTTCAAACGTTTCTATCTCAGATTTCATCAGAAGATATCTTGAGGAGCAAAAAAGCAACTACATATTCCTTCCAATTGATTAGTTGTCCCCTTTTATCATCTAGAGCAATCTTGAAATTGTTGACTTTTATGCCATAAATAATGACAAATCGCGACATTAGACAACAAAAAACGCTATTCCTACAGCTTGTATATGATACCAGTGGATCATCTTAAAATACCAAATTTCTTTCAAAATTTGAAGAATAATGATTATACTTTTTTTGATGACATACATCATGCTGTCATTCAAAAGCTAGAGACTCGGTATGGTCTTAGAACATTTATTTCAAATAACATCAAATTTAGTCATCAACTTCTAAAGCATTTGTATTGGTGCCATTCCAATTCAACTCAGCACACTCCTGGATAGTGAGTCAACAAAATTGACAGTTGAGGCAATGAAGCACGAAGGACATTTAATCTTAAAACCTTATGATAAACTTAACTAACTTATTGAAATTCCTTTTTAATTCATTTATATATTCAATTCAATATTGAATGTCGTTTCTAGGCCTCTACATAAAGGGTTTCAGTTTGACTCAAAGATGACCTGGGATAACTGGGAGAATTTTGTGGCACAATTTGAGTCAATCCGCAATAATCTATTTCTTGAATAAAGGAAATTTTTCTAAGGGAACTCTATCGCGGAGCGATTAGCAAAGCAGAATCTGTTCTAGTCATCAGGGTACAGCTCAATCGGCTTGAAATATGTGACACGCAAAACCAGTTCTCTAGAACTGGTCTTCCGAAAAAGCGATCAGATAATAAGATTATTGACATGGACGGTTTTGTATTTATAAATGGTAAATCGGCCATTTGCTGATGTGTTTTAACGCGCAAAACACTTAAAAATCAGGAAAGTTTTCTTGTTGTGCTTCAGAAAAGTGGCACATTAATTCTGACAAAATTACTACAAGTATTATCAATGAGGTATGCATTTAGAACAAAATTGTGGGAATATGTTAAGATGATGACTTGAGGGAGCGACTCAAGAAGTATCGTGTTTTAACCATCATATTCACGTCACAGCAATTCAAAGCAGAAGATATCAATGAGTTATCAGATGACACCCTTATAATTACAAGAGATAATTTCGAGCAATATTTTGGTCCGGTACTTGCTTCTCGATTGGCATTTAGTATTATGGGTGAACTCAATATAAATACTGCAACTTCTCAACGGATTTCCAACCTGATTCATTGGGTCAGAAGTATCGCATCTACAGAATTATGCAAGAAACGACCATATTATGATGTTGATGATCTTATTGAAAAGAACGAACGATATAAAAATCAACTAAAAAGGCCCAATCAGGGTTGGAAAAGTGTACATTCACACCATATAGCTTCTTTAAAGGTGTCAATAATTAATAATAAATCATTGAAAATGAAAAGAAATAAGTCTCGGTGAAATTTTTTAAAGAATCTCTTAGCTTTCGAATTTAAATAATTAATGTGGAAATACTGTATGTACGTAAGGTATATTCAACTTTGGCGAACACTTCATAAATAAAGAACATTCTATAATAGTATGTAATCAAAACTTTATATAAATTGGAGTTGATGCCTTCTAATAAATAATATTGAAATAACCGTTTAAAAGGGAGAAGAAGAGTGTAAATTGATATTGATATTACGCACGTAAAGTTTGCACCAAGACATATGAAATGTCCGAAATTTAATTCTAAGCTAGAACCTTCCAAAAAAATATACACTGTGGAAGTTACATATGATGTTCGTTCGTACCTCCAATTAGTTTTAGGTTATGAAAAACCGTGACATTTTGTCACGATTTTTTTTATTAATTCAATTAACATGCGAAACAACTAAACAATATGGCTGAGAACTTTCCCAACCATATTTTATCGTTATAAGAGACGCGATCAGCTGAGTTCTTGATCGTTGGAATGGATAACCTCCTAGAATTATTTCAAACGATCGCAACAATGCAACAAATATCTTATCAAATAAGTTTCCTTTACTTAAAATACATAATTCAGATATTAATAATATTAATAATACGGTTTTGTTTTTAAGATCTGTTATCGCACATATAACCACGTTTTATGCTTCAGTTGAACCGAATTCATCTCAATTAGCAATGTATTTGCACAGATTACTAAAATAAATTTTGGCAATTTGCACATTATTTCATTGTAAGGATTTGTGAAATATGTTATCTATGTTTAATGGAACCTATAGATGAGTATGTGCGATTTTATATTATTTAGATAATTTACAAAACACTTTCCTACGCGAAGTCCACCTGGGACTTGTAATCTCTTGAGTTAGATGAAATAGTATTTGACGAACAAGCAAAGCTGAATTGATCAAACCCGATACGCAAAAGATATTACATACGATCTATGCGCATTGATCATGCGATGCCCGGAGATATAATAAATTTACATGGGATGACGAAATTCTTGCATATAGTCAAAGAATTTCGAAGTTGTCAAAGGGAATTGTATACTTCATGATTTGCAAAAGTTGAAGCGGAATTAGCAAATATTTTATTTTTGACAAATTTGGAAAACTCGTCAGCTACCTTATCATTATTGGAAATTCTTCTGTGTTTTGTTAAAAGTACAGCAGTTGGAATTGGGGAAAAATCCATTAAGGATTATGTTAAACAATGTTAAATTCATCGTTAATCGAACATGCAGGGTTCTGTGAAATATTAAATATCGATTTACGACTAAACACTTGGTAGCATTATATGAGCTTCTTGAATAACAATTTGCCATTATTCAAATTAAATACGTTGACGAAAAATATAAAGTTCCACTTTCGGACGATATGGAAAACGCAATACTTCGATCTTTGGATTTTAAACAAACTTTTGGTAAAGAATTGATACCAGCATAAGCATTTGCATTATCTTTAAATCGATTCATTTTCCGATATTTACTTTAGAAAAATCTAAAAGAAACGGATCCATTATATCTTTATACACAAGACTTTTCATTGAATTTCTGGCCGTCAACCAATCTCGGAGGATATATCAATGAATTATTATCAGAAAATTTAATAATGGCCAACACATCTGCTGCTTATGAATTTGTAACGAAAAGGATCGAGGTAAAAATGAGCATTTTATTAATTATATTGATTTATTAACTTCATTAAAAATTATTTTTTTTTATTTTTGTTAGTTAAAAAAAAAAAAAGGTCAAGAATGATCTAAGGCCAAAAAAAAAAAAAAAATAGGGCGCAGCAATTTGATGCCGCATAAATAATTTTTTCTAATTATATTTAAATTCGTAGTATAAATATTATATAACCCTTAACCCTTTCATTTCATTTTTTATATATATGCTTAATTTTGTTTTGGAGAAGATTGATTTTTGACGAATAAAGAGCAAATAGAAAGTCATAACTCTCCATCGATATCTTATATTTCAGAAACTTTTTAAATTGTTATCAATAAATAGAAAGACATTATTTCGATTTTCTCTTTTTTTTTATTGTAACGTCAATAATTGGATACTCTCATGACATTGAAATTAAAAACATTGGACAATGTATGTATCTGAAAGTTAAAGTAAGAGAAATATTCAAAATGATGCTTCAGAGAATATGTGAAAAATTAAAAGACTCAATTACTCGATAGATGGAGCCAAATTAACAAATTGCGAACAAATACAATTTCCTTAGAGTTATTGTTAAACTTGGATTAAATTTGAATAAACAAGAAGTTTTCTTTAAGGAATCGTACTTTTTAAATTACAGTCAAAGCTATAGTAAAATCACGTTATAGTGAATCATTTTTAATTCACCAATTCAATTTTTTATAATAAATTTCTCTCGATATAGTGAACTCTTAATAAAATCTCATTATAGTGAACAAAAATGATTAGAACCAAGAGTTCACTATAAAGAGCTTTGACTGTAGATAAATTAGATAAAAATGAAAAAAAAAATTTGATATTTAGACTGAGATGTCGAATTAATTCCGATCGATTTCGAAGTTCGACTATGTCATTCTCAACAATAATTAATGAAAAAATCTTTATTCCAGAAAATAATGAAATGAGCAATATTCTTTACATAATGGAACTAATGAATTGAATTAGTTAGATACATTGGGTTTCCTTTTTTGAAAAAAAAAAAATATTAATAGAAATGCGTTGATGGTTTTACTAAAGTTTTTTTCTTAGTTCCAAATATTTATCTATTAAATATCGAGCGTTAACATCATTAAAACAAGAAGGATGCTCGGAATAAGATTCTACAATCCTTTTATATACTTTAGAAATGTTAATTATGTTAATTCTTTTGTGACCCAACTTAAAATCACTCTATTATAAAATATACAGTATAATGAATATTTAAGCAGAATTATTATTGATACAAAATAATGATTAAAAAAAATTTAATTCTTTAAAAATGTCCAATTTATTTTGTTTAAGCCGTTTTCGTTAACCCAATGAACGTCAAATCTGTAGAATTCAAATAACAAAAATATTTAAAATCTTTTATAAAAACAAAAATATAAGTAATCCTTACTTCCCGGGAAGTGTCAAATTGATTGAAATGGTAAATTGTTTGTTATATACACGGCCCCGATCGAAGGAATATCACCTTCGATTTGATTTTACGATCTAAGCTAAATAGTCTTAGTGCTAAGATATTTTAAAATAACAAGAAATTATTTACTTCATTTCTTTGATTTTCGTTTTCCTAAATAAAAAAATTTTTTTAATTTTTTTAAAGAAATAAATTATGAGACAAACTCCTTACCTGAGGTTTACGAAAACCACCGGAAACAGTGATTTAAGTGTTTCCTCCTCCAGAATCAGTAGACCTTACAACAAGAATAATTCAAAGAAATTTCAATAGCTTTAGGAGTTATCTCCACGAAAGAAGTATCAATTTCATCTTGATTTCACATGAAGAAAATATCAAATTCAGCACCACGAATGCGTACCTTTGTTGTACATTAATATCTTGAAATTAGAAAAAGGAGAAAAGGTAAGAATTTATATCTTTTGTAATCTAATTATTACAATGCTTACAATACTAACAAACTAAAAGAGCAAACGGATTGACTTGTCAAAATGTTGTTAATGTTATTAAAGATTTTGTAACGCGCAATTTCTTTCATTCATCATTACTACTGATGATGCTACATCTGAACCTATGGTTGACTTATTGAAATTCCACAAACCACCTGTAGTCTTAGCTCGTGTTTAAGGTCGCCTGGCAAAACCCCGAGGGTTTTACCATGAAATAAAATAATAGTAAATAAAATATGATAAATATAATAAATATAACTAATCTATCTAAACTAACAAATATAATATATATCCTTATACGTGAAAATTTTGAAGAACAACATAATTAGTGTAGATCATGAAGATCTTTGAATCCCACAATTTCTCATTTTTTCACAATAGGAATCCATCATATATTCCTCAGTTTGCATTCGCTCTTGTGAAGGAGAATAGTCTATAGATAGACCCTTTCACCATGTCTTCAGATAGGTTGACGGATTCACCATGTAGTCCTCTTTCATAAGTTGTTAGTGTTATACTCCCTCTTGTGAAAGAGATTCTATATAGACTAGTCTTCTTTTATAGGTGGTCCTTTTTATATATAGCGGATGATGTGGATGATGTGATAAGAGGGATTGATTCTAATTTTCACTAATAAATCTTTTCGACAAAGATGAAAAGTGTTTGGTATTGATCAATTCAATTAATACTCACTAAAAACAATACCAAATTAAGAATAAAATACTTAGAGAAGGATCCATAGAACTGTCGAAACTCGTCCTGTCAAAATCATTTTGAAAAGTTTCCAACTTTTGAATTTTAGGTTAGGTTATTAAAATATTGTTATGATGGCGCGGATAATCGAGAAATTAATAAAAGCCGCATAACCGCATAATTCAAAAAACTACTTAATGACATTTGAAATAAATATATTTTTATCTAAATAGACGTACGTCTATACCAATACACTTTAAACGAAACAATAATTTCCGAAAGTTTAAGAGCCAAGTTGATTATTGAGGCAAATGTTTATTTTGATATTTTAAATAAAAATATATATATATATGCTCTTTCACATCCTAAAAATACTAACTTACCAAATAATATATAATCTTACGATATTTACTCAATTAATATATATATATATTAAATCTATATTAATAAACTTCCATATTATAGTCTTTATGTGATGCGTATATATTGTAAACTTGTTTTCCTATCTAATACCATAGTTTAACGAAATTGATTCCATATTGAACTTGATGTGCTGCTAGATGGTTTACTTATATGATGATAAAATATATATATATAATTAAATAAAAAGACGAAAATCAAAAACAAAATATAAAAATAAAAAGTAATCATACATAGAAGGTGCTGATGTATTCGATGTACTTCTAAATCCGCCAACAGGAGTACTATAAAATAGATAACTTAATCGCAAAATACTTTGCAGAATTAAAGGAAAATTTACACATATTTCAAAAATACCTTGTGAAACCAAAACCACTACCAAAAAAAAAAAATTATTCATTAAAAAAAAAAGGCTCCAAACAAAAATCGAAACAAGATCAAAAAAAATATCATACGGTGTTGAGGTAACCGATGCACTTCCACCGTTTCCTCCGAAACCAGTAGTATTACTGTAAAAATAGATAAATTAACTTTGTGAATTTAAGGAAAAAGAAATGTTATATATCTTTTTCAAATACCTTGCGAACCGAGCGAAACCAGCACCATCTGGAGCTTTAAGTGCAGGCGTTTTCGTAAAAGAAGATGGTGTTCCTAATCCTGGCATCCCAAAGGCAGGTTGCCCAAAAGCAGACGATTGAAATCCTGTTTGTCCAAAAGCAGGCGAATTGAATCCTGGTTGTCCAAATGTAGGGGGAGCCAAAGCATTAGGTATTAGAGGCGATTGACCAAATGGTTGCGGTTGTTGTGGTTGACTAAATGCATTAACAACATTTGAATTTGCTGCAGCAAGTGCTGGTGGAATGCTACCGATATTAAATGCATTTGGTATCTCTCCCCTATATACCGAAGGAATAGGTGTTGCTGTTCCAAAGTGTAAAGAGGAAGGTGATGTTGAGCTAAAAGGTGTTGAGCCTTGTGTTGGTTGACCAAACGTAATGTCCTTTTGCTGTGCATTAGATGTACTCAACCCAAACATTCCTAGTGAACTAGTTGAACTAGGTAGGCTCGAAGGTTCTCCCAAACCAAATGATCCGAAACCTGCAGCAAAATTGTTACTTTCATTTATAATGTCAATTTCCTCGTTGGTAGGTTTCTGCTGCAAGACTTCTTCGGGTTTGGATTCAACACCGGGCTCTGCAGCTACCTGAGATATCTCTTCCAATGATGTATTATCTCCTTTATATGGTTCTATGAATTCTTCCTTCTTTTCAAGTTCAGCTAGTTTTTCAATTGCTTCATCGTAATTTGATTCCTCGCCATCATAATATTGAAGAAATTCAGGTTTTGATAAAGTATCAATTTCAGATTCAAAATCATCTAAATCGTCCTTATCGCTTGATGTTATTTCTTTTTGTTCAAATGTCTCCGGTGATGATATATAACCTGGTATGTTGGAGATTTTTGATAATCTTGAAACATCCGAACCAATAATCTTGTCAAACTTATTCTGCATGGAATCTCCAGTGTTTTCATCAGCGACATCATAGATCCTTGTTTCATATGTCTCTTGAAATCTCACTCTCGTTTCTCTTAAAGATGTTTGTGTTGGAGAATACGAAGGTTCGGAATCTAAATCACTTAAATACAAATTGGATTTATCATCTTCCTGATAATTTTCATCATCTTCAGATTCAGAAGTGTTATCCGAATACTCATTTTCTATAATATCATCCTTTTCTTTTTCAAAATAACGTAATCTCCTTTCTCTAATTTCTGAAATTGGTGGTTTATTTTTTGGATTAGTATCTTCATTTATAGGAAGATTAAACTCGGAATATGTATTCCGTTTTATCGGAGTGTCTAATTCATTATAATAATCACTTTCTTCACCGAAAGTGTGATTATTTCTAAGTGAACTACCATATCTCATGGTGTTTCTATCGATCGGTTTATGTGGTTCATTAGGGTTCTCTGAGCTTATCTGTATTGAATCACGAGTCTTAAATGGACTTTGACTCTTTCTTGGTGAGATAACCTTAGGCACTTATAATATTTCATTTAGGATAAAATTAATACAATTTGATCGATTGTTTTTAAAAAAAAATATTATAATAATGATGATGACAATTGCAAAATATAACAAGCTAACATCATTTAGTTACTCACTTGGTTCACTAGGTTCAAGATCACTATAAAGGTTTGTCCCGTAGGGCACTTGTCTCTTATCGTTTACTATTAGAAATTTAGATAATTTCCATTCTTTCTCCATTAATTTACTAGTTTTTTCCTCATTTTCATCAGAGCATTTTACAGGTATTGTGTTTTTCCTAGTATCATGTTCGATTTTCCGAGATACGAACGTGTCAGCATCTTCATTAAAGCTTATAGATGCAAGTTGTTCGGAAATAAAATTCAATTGAGTATTTACTTGTTCGATTTGAGACGCGTTACTATATAAGCCTTTACTAATATTTTGTACTGAACGATCAATATAATCCAAAGGAGTTGATCTATGATAATGAATTCACAATAATAAAAAAAGATAATATATATTAAAGTTCACATTAAAGAATAATTTGATAATTGATGATAAAATAAATAAAAAATGATTTACCCCGTATGTTTATTTGCCTTATGATCTTTAATTTGCTCATGTAACTCATCCAACTGTTTCTCTAATTTATCCGCGTTATCTTTAACGTCCTATAAATTGTAAAATAAATGTGGTATTCAAAATTGACGACATTTAAAATTTGATAAATTAATCTATAAATCAATAAAGGATTGATTAATTTTACCTGGAAAGCTTTTTCATATTTCTCAGTAATTCTTGATTGTATTGTTCCACGATGAGTGGGCGTAACTTTTTGCGGCGATACTAACAACCCAATCTCCTGCTTTGTCATGGCATCCTCTGTCATAAGCAACAAACAGATTCAAAATTATAAAATTTATAAATAAAAATGTACGAAAGTAATTACAGAAAATATTAAATAACCTTTAACAAAATTAAGTTTTAAACTGGTAGCCTCTTGTTTCAAAAAACTAAGTGAATCGATGATATTTTTAGTTTCCTTTTCCAAACGTTTCGTCTCTGATATAATTACTGGCAAATCTCCAATCGACCAATCGTTAGGATTGTCAAGACAGTCTGCATTTGTCTGTTCGTAATATTTAATTATGTAATTTTCCTCAATATCTTTTATTAAATATTGAATCTAGAAAGGAAAAATAAACATATATAATAATTTTTTTATTATAGCAAAAGAAATCAAATCAAAATATTAATGAATAATCATGAAAACATACTTCATGTACACTTTTCTTTGTTGCATCCAGTCTTATATAATGTGGTTTGTTAATATCAGGTCTGGTAGGACTTAATTGCTTGATCGATGTCGCATTTTGGGCGTTATCTTTGACAATTGTATTTGTTGCATTATTCTTTGCTGCTTGCAAATTATTTGTAGGACCGAGTGAAATTTTATCTCTCGATATAATTGCAGTAGTAGGTGTATTAACAGGAACAGATATTTTATTGCTCACAAAAGACGGACCAGGTTTGCTTTCAAAGATAGCAGGTTCATAGCTCGATTTAGGTGATATTTTTCCACTTGAAGGTCCAATAGAAGGAATGGGTATTGCGGTTGTCATTCCGGGATAAGGTTTTCCAGCCAAATATGCATTTTTTTGTAAACAACGAAATGCTACAATTTCACTTTCATCATTAAAAATAAAAAGTATAGGGACTGGTGGTATTTGACTATCTTCATCTCCTGTTAATTTTGTAACCCAAGGTTCTGTAGAAGTTTGATCAAGCGCCATTCCGATTGGTAATGTTTCATCAACATGATGTGATGAAAGTGGAAGAATCGCACGTGATGTTTCTGAAAGACTCCAATTAGACCATGTGCCTGAATCGCTACGAGCAATTAAATTTGTATCAGAAGAATTTGTACAAGCACAAATGACCATGTTTGTCAAATCCGAACCCCTAAAAGGAATTAAGATAAAAAATTTTAATTATAGAAGTTAATTATTAGGAATAATAGTGAAAACACTTTACCAATCTTTAATAGATTCCATAAACATATATGAAGCTTTGTTACGAGGACTTGAAAAACAAATATTTGGAATTTGATTATAAACAGTCTTTGATTTATTCTCATTTGATATCAAATAAACTATGTGTTCAGAATCTTCATCCTGAACGATCGGAAAATAAGTTACTATAAATATGCTATTTTCTAACCAAAGAACATTTCTGACTATAAAGGATGTAATGTTAGCATTCGCGAAAAATAATAATAATATATATCTATATTAATCTGTAAAACGAATTAACTTACCATAATAAGTAGATTCTTGAATTCCTGGTGGTGCTTGATATGTTGATTTAACAATTCCATCAGGAGTAAATTGTACAAGCCTTCCAGACTGACTACCGCAAGCCAATTGCCTTCCTTTTGGTGACCAACATACTTAAGAGATTTACAATAATAGTTAATAATCTAAATAATCGACTTGTTTGAATTGATTTTGCCACTTACTAGCTGTCACTTGCTCGCCAAGTTTAGAATTTTTCACGGAACCAATTTCTACGTCAGATATAAGATCTTTAATAGAAACGGTACCAGATTCAAGCAAAAATGCAATGATTTTATTATTTTCTCCAGGATTAGGACGAATATCCACGACATTGTCCGAAAATTTCATGGTTTGATATGGCTGAATTTTTGAAGACTAGTGTAACAAAATAGATCGCATGTTAATGAAAACGTTTATTACTAAAAAACTTAATAATATTATGACAACAAATAAATCTTACCTCAGATGAAAATATGGTAACATCATAACATAATATTTGACCACCTTCAACGCCCACAATTATAGTGAGTTGATCGGAGGTCAACTTTAATAAATGAACGCGTCCTTCAGTTATATTAACGTGAATCCCTTGCGCAAATGGCTTATCCGATTCTGTGTCAGAAGAGTAAAAGGCGTTGCGTAAATCTTTTGTAAGCGCGTAAATAAAACCTATTAACATTTATAAGTTGGTTAGATTAGAAAATTCAAAGTAAAAAAATCACCATGTATGTATAATATTATATAAACTCTTTAACCTTTGGATGTTCCCGCCAAGAAAAAACCATATAAGCTAGAAACCGTTAATAATGAGGAATAAGGAGGAATAGAATTCTCATCAAAAATGTCTTTAGAAAGTTTTATTCTTTTTTTTAGTTGTATAAATTCAAAGAACTACGTGATCCAAGATTCCGTAAGGCTTAAACCATTTCAAATCGTAACATTAATTGAAAGATTAACAGGTGAACTTACGTCAACATCAAGTTCCTCAAGCGTTGTTTCGATTTTTTCGATTTTTTCTTCAGACATTGTAAAATCCTTGCTTAATTATTAAACGAGCGAATGTAAAAATAAAAATACTTTTTGTTATGCAAATCATGTGTGCTCGCCCTATCACGTGATTTTAAGAAAATCGAGGTTTAAATTAACCAATTACCCACGGGATACCCGCCCTTTTTGATGTATCGAATTACAAAACAAATCCCAAAATTATAATATTTACAACTATATGGGAGGTTTGCTAGGAAAATGGGGCTCTGAGTAATTTTTATTAAAATTTTAATTTTTATTGCATTTTAATGTTTGATAATGTTAGATTAAAATGCAATAAAAATTAAAATTTTAATAAAAAATGCTCAGAGCCCCATTTTCCTAGCAAACCTCCCATATGTTAATCATTATCCAAAAAAAAGAATTTTTGTATATCAAATAACTAATAAATAAACTATTTATAATTACTTTTCATTTGATGTTAGTAATGCTTCAAAATGATTTATATAAAATAATTATCATTTTTCATGTAATATTTTTATTCAATTACATTTAAATATTATAATACAAATGTATCTTAGTGCTGAACAACTTTATTTAGACTTTGAGAAGCGATTTTATTTGACTAAAATGGTAAAATTATATTACAAAGTATAAAGTGAAATTATTTTAGTGATTTGATTTTGAAAAATATAAATAACTTTACAAATATCTAACCAATATTTATAAAAATTTATATATGAGTATTTCAATAACTGTTGAACAACTTTACTTAGACACTGAGAAGCAATTTCATTTGACTAAAGTAGTGAAATTATACTTTAAATTATAAGGTGAAATTATATAATATATGGGAGCTTGTTGATAGAAGAGGGGAAATCTAAAAAAAGTTTTTATGAATTAAAATTAAATCTAGACTTATTTTACTAAAAACATCATATTTAGCATATGAAGTAAATTTTAATTTTTTTTATATTTCCTCCTTTTCTATTAATAAGTTTCCATATAAAAGAAAAAATTAAAAGAATTACTAATAGCTTTATAAATACTTGCAGTTTCATAAATAAATTTTATACCAGTATACTTAAATAATTATTCAAAAGTATTAGCTTCATTTTTAAAAAATACTATATTAGAAAATATAAAAAAAGAGAGAAATAATGTCAATAAACAAATAATTTTTTTTTTTTACACATCTATTTATAATCACAATAATATAATTTTTATATTGACAAATAAAAAACTCTTTCTAATAACCATCCACTTTCCTAAAAAAGATTGACAAAAGAAATAAAATATGTCTATTACTAAAGCTATTATTGCTAAAAAAATAATACAAATGAATACAACAAACTAACAAACAAACTAACTTTAACAACAACAGTAAAGCATCTGATTCTAACACTACTGAAACAAATAAATTTATTTCTTCAAGAAAACAAAGAACTGCTTTTACTCCTAATGAACTCACTGAAGAAACTTTAAAGTAAAATATTACTGATAACAACAATCATATGATTAACATCCCACTTATTATATTCAACTAACACCCATAGAAGTTACTGAAACAGAGAAACAAACTGAAATAAAACTTAATATAATCTCTGACTTGAATACTCAACAAACTATTATTCTCCTAAAATTTATCACCAATGACTCTATATATGCTTTAGAAAATAGTGATAACATATTCGAAGACACAGATTTTGAATATATCTTCCAGTAAATAATAAAGAAAAAATAAACAGTTTTAGTTAGATGAAATAGAACAATGAAATAATGAATCATGTGCTCACAAACACAAGGAGTTTCTTATAATATTATTACTGCTTCTACACATTTTTACGTGACAGATAACATGTCAAATATAAAAGAAAAATTTATTGCTAAAAAATACACATTAATTAACCTCCTATTTATATATTATAATGGCTATCAAAGATCAACATACATTTCTAAATTAAGAAAATTCTTTGTCTACTTTTAGATTATGGAGGAGCTTACACATGTAATTAACAAAGTACAAAAAATACAAACACAATCTGACTTTTATAGTTATTGGCCTTAAGATTAAAAACTAAAATAAGATGCTAAAAAAAAAGGACTCTGTAAGTCTTAGATATATCCCATATTCATTAAATCTGACATTTTTCGAAATTACTTTTCCAAATTTAATTTGATTTTCAGATCCTCAATAATCATCTGTATACCATAGCAGATTGTCTTCATTATTTTCAAAAATGCTGATACTATTATACCCTTTTATGATGATCTCTGATCATTACAATTTCTAGAAAATATTTTACGTATTAAACCTATAGACTTAAATCTCATGCAAATCTCATTGCGTTAATAATTTGAATTAAAACTTACTGAACTTCTACTGAATACTAATTAATAACAGTTATTCAATTTTTTGACATACATTAAAGCTCACTCTTATTTTATTCCTTGAGATCAGCAATATTATCTTTGATCATACGCTTTTATCAATTTCACAAATCTTGATAACCTTGATGCTGCAGTGGCACAGTCTTAAAATTCAAAGGAAAATCTCTTTACTAGATGAAGGCATCTATGAAATACTGTTACTCTTGTGATACTTCTGGACATAAATTCAAAGAGTATACTAATAGAAGACTGGTTAATTCTTACAACTATTATATGATCAATTCAAACCAGAACAATACAGACTATTTTGCATCTTTCAAAATAATAGTCCTAATAATCCTTCATTTTCTAATATGGTTAAAAGTAATATTAATCACAAAATATAAGAAATTGAATCTTTTAAGATCCCTTCTAATGTCGTAAATACACTTAAAATTATTTAAGAAAGACTTAATTTGCTTGAAAATCAACTTATTACCATTAGTGATAAGATCACTTCTATTAAGAATAACCTCATTATTCATGAACAAAATAAACAAGATATTGTTTTCGTTTAAACTGATTGAAATACATCCATAACATTGAATATAAAGCAGAACATATTACTGATTCTCAATATAAATTTTCTCTACACAATTCTCACTTAATGCTAGAAATTCAAATTATATCTTTCAAACAAACGATTATGAATAATATACCCATTATTAATACTAGTATTCCATCCAATCTCACCAATAATAGCTTTCAACAAATCAGTTTAGTAGAATCATCTATCAATGATATTAAAAATAAAATGCACTAATTGCTTGCTACCATCAACCCACTTATCCAAACGGTAATATCTTTTAAATAATGAGTGTACAACATAATATCACACAAAATAGTATCATAGTATCCAAAAGCATCATAATATATCAGATACCCATTCCAATGAAAATTCTCAAATGCTTATCAATAATCCAAATTTTTTTTCTTTTATCACATATAACATTAGAAATTGTACATCTCAAGTTGTAATGAATCAAATAGAACAATTTTTTTTAAATTACAATAAGTTTAAGCAAAACACATTTTAATTCTACTAATGCTCTCTATTATTCTTTCAATTTACAAAATAAGCTATATCATTTTTATTTTCTTTAACGAACTCTAAATCAAATTGTCAAGATGTAGGTTTCATAATCTGAAACTATTTGTTCGATTACATATTTTTCACAAATTTCTTTTCGATCGTATAGCTTATATTGATCTGCAATTCAAGAACAAAACCAAATACAAAATCTTTTAAGTTTATTTATCTACTAAAATTAGTAATCTGAATAAAGAAAATTTCATATTTTAATTGAATAAACCCTAATTAATTTAATACTAAAAGTGTAATCAAAAGCTTATCATATAATCCTTATTAGAAATCTTAATATTGATCACTATAAAAGAAACGATAACAATTACAAAAATTAGAATTTTTGTATCTTTATCAATAAACTCATCAACCTCTTTTTAATTCATACTGCATTCTTAATTGAACAAAATAATTATCTTTTATCATATATTTTTCTTCAATTACATTCTAACAAATCCTCACATATTAACTACATCTTCACTTCTTCATCACTCTCTCATAATTTAACTTCTTTAAAATATTTAATTCTTCTGCTATCCTTTATAAATCTGACCATCATCCTCTTTAAATTACTTTATACAAAAATAATATTTTTAAAGATTTATTAATAGCTTATCACAAACAACGCAAATCTACAAAAAAAGCTTTTGATTTTAGTAAAATATCCTTTCTATACTGGGATTTGTTTTCAGATAAACTGGCTAAATTTATCAAAAACTCAAGTAAATATCGAAATTGTGAAATCAATAATCTCAGCGTATCCCACTCAACATTAAATAATTCATGGGAATTTTTTGCTCAATTTATGATTAAGGTTACCAAAAACACATTCCTAAATATACTATAATAATCAAATATAAATCCTTATATACTTTCAATAATTCCATTATTTATAGATAAATTAAACTACTTTAAAAGTTATATTATAAAATAAAGAACTATACAGATAAGAATGATATTGTTACCAACAATTATCCATTCATCATTGATTTTGATGAATATAATAAAATTCTTAAGATAGCATCTGAACACATGATTTCATCTGCAAATTTGGACACATTTTTCAATCAAAAAAATGTCCAAGCTTATCAAAAAGAACTTAAATTTTCTATCATCAAATCTTTAGAATACTAGAAAATAGAAACTGTTATAAGTCCGAAGTGAAATATTTATTTTACTAATTATTTTTATTGTGATATTTTAAATTAGAATTGCAGACTTAAAGCTAAATCCATTAGAAAATAAATAAATGCAATAAAAATAAATGTATATTCCTACAATAATTAATATATATATATGCAATGTAATAAATAGAATAAAATATTATAAATATAAATAAATGTATTATTATTATATGATTAGCTTAATTGTATGCAAACTAAAAAATATAATAAAATTTAATTAACTAAATTTGTAAGCATTGTTAGCTGTTTTTACATATGGTTTTATAACACTAATACAATTTTATTATAGAATATAACACTAAAATTGACATGCCGATCATGCTGTGTGATATTCAATTAAA